TGAAAATTAGAACACAGAAAAAAATAATTGAAAAAGCATGGTTTTTAAATCAAAATCATTTCAAAGGCAGTTAAACTAAGTACTTAATTAAAGATGACTCCACTTTTATGAATACAGTATATTATTACATTTTAAAATATGATACTTTTACTTATCTCGAAAATAAATGATATCATAAACGAAAATGACAGGGTTGAAAATTAAAATTCCACGTTGTTTATCCACAAATTCTGTTTTGGACGGAAGCTACGTATAATCGAGGTGCCATTTTATAGTAAACGTGTGTATAAAGTAGAACAACTCTTTCAGTCATATATATTATTAGTTTTAAAGTTGATGTCGCAAAACCGAAGCAAACAAACATTATATTTATAATTATTATTTTTTAAGCATGTCACTGCTTGATGTTTAAATCTAAAGAAAATATAACTAGAAAGAATTCCACGCGGACCAGGCAGCAGACGGGACTCGTACTCGCATCCTTTGCTATCCGGGCGTATGCACTGATCAATTATGCTACCGCGGCCCTAATAGCCGCGTCGAAATTTTTCTAGCCATTCTTAAGCTGCAAGGCAGCGTTATCTCTTCGCATTGTAGGTAACCTACAATGTCAAATGAATACTTTTACAAGTTTAAAACATTTGAAAGAAGAAATAGCAACTGTAGTTATAATTTTTATTTTTTAAGCATGTAACTGCTAGACGTTTAAATGTATTTTTTTCTCGCTCCCGCGGTTTATGATGTAGATGGGTATTTTTTACTTCTGATGACGAAAACTTAAAAAAATATTTTGATCAACTTTACTTAAAATAGTTGTTAATATCAATTAATTAGGTCATTATCTACTATAAAAAAATATGCACCGAGCTTACAGCTTTTAAGTTCTACTAGACATACCACATAAAATTATGGTCGTCCATGGTAGTGACACTGAATCCAGGGAAGTGACTTTCCATACTGTTTTTAACAATGGTAATGACTTCACCGCGTCATGGACGTGACACTGTATGCATTTGAAATAAAGGGGACATAAATTATTTTATCCATGGAAATTATGATGTCTTTTGGATTTATTGAAGAAAACAAATGATTGGAAAACAAGCTTTTAATTGCTTAAAATTTTTAATTTTAACCTCAATTACATCTTTTATCTTAGGATTATGGTATCAACAATATTTTGTAATAAAATAATTAACAAACCATTCATTTTTAGATGTAACTGCTAAAGATATCAAAAATATTGTACTTATGGTACCTTCTCATTGCAGTCTCAATTATATCTTAATATTATATTTTAAAAAAGTTCCAATTATTTTATAACGAGTTTTCTATCTTCCAGTTCTTCGATCTCACTTGTTAAGTCTAGTTCCTCATACTCTCATTTTTCGGTCTCACTATCCAGTTCCTTACCCTCACTATTAAGCTCATTATCTTCTTTTTCTTCACTAGCACCGTCAAGTTCCCTATTCTCTACTTCTTTAGCCTCACTGTATATTCCCTATCATTCTGCTCTGCAGTCTCACTATCCAGTTCCTTGTCTTCCTGTTCTTCCGTCTCATTGTCAAGTACCACATTCTGCAAATCTTTGGTTTCATAATCCTTTCCTTATTCTCCTGTTCTTGGCTATCTCTATCATATATTTTTTCCTGCCGAAATTTGGTTAGAAAATTTCACATAACTGTTGGACAACGAGTAATGTAGACACCGTTCTCCAGAGGCGCAAGTGAGGCATGTTAAGTTTCCTAAAAAAATTATGCGCAATGCTCGAGTCCTATGTCATTTGATGAACTTTTGTGATTCCAGAAACACTATTGATATTTCTTTGCAATAGCTTATTAATTTCTTCAATTTCTTTTGCAGTTACGGAGGAAATTTTGACATTGGTAGTGTTCTCTTTAATACACTTCATAAGTGTATTAAAATCAGGTATATCTGACCCTTGACCAACAATACAATCTGCAGTACGCTTTATTACCGCACCCACTCCATCCATAGGCCCTTTGCCATGGCCTGCTTCGCAGAAGTTCCACGTCGCAGTTTTGGAAGTGTATCTCTTTACCAAGTATTGAGTATACAGATAGAATACATATTCTATCTGTATCTATACAGTATAGAAACAGATACATATCTGTTTCTATACTGTACACTACGACCATCGCTTAAAATATGCAATTTCTGAATTGTGCGTGAGCATCTTTTGAAGATGAGCACATATTGCACAAGCATCATGGTGCAAATTCTCAGAAAATGTGAAAAATGAACAACTATCCATGATTTGCGTATCAGGACATCTGTAGTAATACACACCAGTATGAAGACTGACTTGCTGTTTGGATGCACCAAAATGGACTCACTGGATCTCATTCGCATATTTATAGCAATTATTTTCAGACAAATTGATTTGCATTTTTAAAAAGATAATGATCCAAGTTAAAGTTCTCATCCCTGGATCTGTGGTCACTTCCATGGAGAAAAAATATCCACGTAATCAAAAAAGGACATTTTGAGGGTTAATAATGGATAAGTAGCCTAATAAATCTCATCTTTGCAAACTATTTCGGCAATCGTAATTTGACCGTCAAACCTACAAAACAGCAAAACATGACGTAAATTAAACAATAATACTTATTTGGCAAACCAGCCACAGTAGTGACCACGTATGCTTGACGAGTTTAAAGTAAGTAATCTAATTGTTTTTTACGACAAACGTATTGCAACCGGTAAGACATTGACATCTCACTATAGTTATGACAGGTTACAGCTAGTCAATGCTCACATAAATTCGGTTACACGCACGTTATTTTCTAAGTAAAAAGTTATCGTGACCTTCGTCCATGGAAGTGACTAAAATCCGAGTCACAAATTATAATTAGGTTTATTGTTCTTTTTTTATTAATTAGATATTAAGTTATAAGCTCATATTGGTGAGTATATAATAGAGTTTAGGATAATATCCATAAAGTGTATAAATTTCATGCCAAAATCTGTAGAAAATAATATTATATCTGTGTATTTGCTTCAGTCACATCCATGGAAAAGACATTTTCAAGGTTATTTTCTTATATTTAAAATAAGTAAGAAGAAAATAACGTGTTGATTAAAATGAATATATTTTTATATAGTCTTCACCCGATGTAGTTGAACTACCTTGATAATATATATATATAAATAATAAACCCACGTGCCATAAGTTATCAAAGATATAAATCTTGGTCACAGATACTTTTATTGAAAATGAGAAATACTCAGATAGAAGTGACGATAATATGTTTCCCCGACACATTTTTTGTGGAACACACATTAGAAAGGTATGCAATCAACGAATTCATGTTAAAAGGGAGTTTGATTCTAATGAGGTCATTTCAAACCAATCGGTCCTGCGCTGCCCGCATCCAGCGACTTTCCGCGACCTTCATCAGTGGTATTAGGTAATCGGTTTCAATTTTGCTTTAGTATTATTTTAATTAGCACTTTAAAACTGTATCTGGCTAAACTGTACTTCCAGAGCCCAAGCGGTGATACTTCACACTAGGTTAGGTTAGGTTAGTGTTAGCGTTGTGACCATAACGCGCGAGCCGAGCGAGCAAAGCGAGCGAGTCGCGGTAGCGGTCGGCGAAGCTTCAGAATAAAAAAATTTGAAAGAGATCTTTTCTACAAAATAAAAAAAAAACAACTGTCACCTCTTGGGCCCTGGAAGTGCAGTTTTACCCTGTATCTTCTTCTTCTTCTGTCTTTTTTTTTGTGGATTTCGCCAGACTCGACTGATTTAGTTTGGTTGTTTCGTATTAACTCTGCTTTTTTGTCAATGGGAAAGCTTTAAAGTTGGTTCACTGCATATACACGTTTACTGTAATAAAATAGAAACCGAGGCTCATTCAATTCGGGGATTTGGGCGTGAATTGTTAACAGCTGCCTGATTCCGTATTGTTATTGCTTTCGATTTATTTCCAAGAAAATGAGTAGCACTGTAAATACCCTTTTATACGGACAAAAGTTTGATCCTTTTGATCAAGGACTTTAATCTACCAACTGAATGTTATTTCTTAAAGAAAATAATATATATCTTTTTATGAGAACAAATTTCACGTTATTAAAGAAGTATCTTCAGTATACAGTGCCCTTAGCACGAACCATTAGCGAATTCGTAACGTTTGCGAGTCCGAAATGTGATTGTCAAATGTGTATTGATTTTTAGTTGTTGTTACGTACGTTGTGGCGCTTCTGTTCAAGTTTCCATACAAAATTTGACATTGACATTTCGGTTTGCAAACTATTCTAATTCGATAATGGTTCGTGCTAGGGGTACAGTACCCTTAGCACGAACCAATATCGAATTCGTAACGTTTGAGAGTGTTAAATGTCATGGTCAAATGTGTACTGATTTTTAGTTCTCGTTACGTACTTTGTGGCTCTGCTGTTCAAGTTTCCATGCAAAATTTAACTTTGACATTTCGCAGTCGCAAACTATTCGAATTCGATAATGGTTCGTGCATGGGGTACAGATGTCTGTGAGCTATTGCGTAATTAAGTATTTATGAGTCCCAAAATATCATGCGTACAATTTGTTGTACCTACTATTGTAAGTAGTTGGTGAGCGCCCAATAATTAGTTTTCTGGCAATCACATAACGATATAGTTTTATCTGATATGCTATGCAGGCCATATAGCAACATGGCCAATCCTGGCCGCGTCAACAGTGTTGCTCTATGGGCTAGACAAGTTTCGACATTCGCAGAATACGAAATTGGATGCAGCAGGTGTCAGTAAGTTTTAATTTAATTTAAGTACGCTAAAATTCATTCTGAAATATGTATCAGTAAATCAAAATATGTGTTTCTGTTAACAAATAACAAATAAGCATTAATCATAAAACATATAGGTAAATGACTAATAACTACAACAAAACGTACTGAGGATGGAGAAGCGTATCGACAAGATGGCGCATGTCGTGCGTGATGGCGGGGCGCGAGCATTATGGCGCGAAATGAAGTGTCACTCACCTTGAAAACTTGTCTGCAGAGGAAGTTCTCTTTGACGGGTAGCAGCCTGAAACATTCCAGGGTTAATAGCTTCAGTGTACGGCGCAAACAATGCGAATTGTTTTGCCACGCGTCGCGTCAAGGATTATTTCTAATTTTGCGTTCGTAATGTACTAATTGATATATTTTACTTATTATATATATGTAGGTAAATGTTTATATTACTGAAAAATCAGTGGACTTAGACAAGGCCGAACCTAACGCTTACGTTAGCCGAACTTTAAAGTTTATTATCAAGCAAAATTACGTGTCGTAAGTTTGTGTATTTTTTACATAATCCAATATATGAAATACGTTAAATGAAATGTACGTTAATTAATTCCATCGATTTATAACTTATTTTAAACTGTAACTAAATATAAAGAAAGAAGATATGAATAGTTATCTTAGGTAAAGTATTCATTTCATAGACTAATAATATGGTATTTTGTTTAATAGAACCAGATCTACTTTGGAATATTTTATGAGAATTTATAGGTACTATGAACAGTTTCAAATATGCCTCTTTATTTACTATAACCATTTATCAAGAAGCAATATTAATTATTTTTTAATATTTTGACAATGAACAAAATCTCGACACTATATTTCACAACTATTAATTTAATTTTGATGCACAGATTTTTTCATAATTATTTGCGTTGAAGTTATTTAACAGTAGACAGGTTGTCAACCGATTACTTGGGTGCATTGTTTTCTGTTAATAATATAATGTATTAAACTGTAGTACCTTACTAACCTATTCGGTTTGCTATTTTCACCTTCAAGCTCAACATCAAAATTATTACTTTGGAATCTTTGAAACAAAAACTAAATGCAGCTATCGTTTGCCTCTTTGATTAAACCTAAACTTCAGATAGACAACAAAAAATCAGAATCAATAAGGATAACGAAACGAAATATTTGGCAAATACAATAATGATAACAGAAACTTCAGAGCAACTAACCGTTCTCATTGAAACTCTTGGGTAGCAAACATCAATAGGTTTTGTGTAGTTATTCGAGATATTGGCATTTTGGCATCCTGTTTTAATTAATATTTAATTTTCACTATAGTAAAAAACAAACTGGAACTTTCAAGAAGAGTACATAAGTCTGCCTTAGGTTTTATTTTCCTACTAAAATAACTTAGTAATGGGAACTTGCTTGTAACTAAAACAAGAAATTTTCAGCGTGCGATATCTAGACGGCGTATTATGTACAATTAACGTACAGCCATTTATGTACGAATCTACATACAACCACGATGTATGCATCAAGTTACAAGACGTTGACAAAATATCTTTATTTAATGTGAATCTTGTATTTAAGCTTTCTGAAATGAATTTATGAAATCTTTATTAAACTGGAAGTCGAATACTAAGAGGAGAGGTTAAGGATGAAACGTAGTGTACATCTCATTTATTTATTTATTTGCGTACATTAAAAAAATGCAATACAGTAAAAAAACCTTAAAGATTTATCTGAGCTGCAGACTCGCTCCACGGCCAGTTACGCCAAACAGCCTGCCTGGTTTTCTAAATAATACTTTTAACATTTTAACAAAGGGTCTAGAAGATTTTCTTAGAAATAAGTTTCAGCATTGTATAGAATGCTCACTTTGTTACAGTAGGGTCAAATGAGGAACAGTATAACAAGGGGCACAATGTACATACAACATATTGTCTGGTCTGTGTAAATGGCAGATTTCTGCCAACGTCAAAAAACTCCTATCTTTGGAATTGGGGGATTTCTGCCACAAATAAACGGTACAATATTTAGATACTAAATAAATCGAAATAGATGCAGAAAATATTTAAGATTAATTTAAGACATAAATGGAGACAATAAGTTCAGTAGAACTCGAAATATAACAGTTTTTGTGAAGCGCGGGTACCAATAGGGTTTGACGGATATTTTGTTTAAACAGTTGAGTGGAATAGAATATCTCTGTATTGTACTCGGCCATTTGACGTCTGATAACAGCTGCCTAAGATGGCGGTTTAAAAGACTAATAAAACACATCAAGACAGACTATAGAAAAAAAAACCAACACACACCAATTAGCCTAGCCCCAAAGTAAGCACTATAAGGTTTGTGTTGTGGGATACTAGAGTAACGGATATAATACATATACTGTACACATATAAGTATATTTATACAGAAATACATATTAAAACATCCATGACTGGAGTACAAATGGTCGTGTTCATCACACAAACATCTGCCCCCCACCGGGATTCGAACCCGGGACCTCTCGAGTCGGCGACTCCATGAAACCCGGCGTACAAACCACTCGGCCACGGAGGTCAGAGAAAAACAAGAAAGAAAAGGGCGGAGATATTGCTTATGGTACACTGTTCCCCTAAACAGTCCCTCAGTTGCCCTTAGATGAATATAGGATTACATTTACAGATTTTGATGTAGATAGTTTGCCCTTAATCTCATATACGTGTTATTTTCATTAAAAGAAAGAATTGACAAGTTGGGTAACTTGTAACATTTAACAAAAAAAAACGACGGGTTGCACTCTGGTTGCAGAAGTGAAAACTTGAATATTAACGTTGTGCATTTTTGATATATTGGAATGGTTAGGGAATAATTTTGCAAGAATTGCTTTAATTATCAGTATTAAAAGTCATGTATGTGCTAGAATACAATATTTATTTATTGCGCTATCGTACACAAAATTGACAATTTATATTACATTAAATAAGTTTGTCTGAGAAAAATCAACTAACATGAATCACATTAAAGCGCACCTAGCGACATTTATTGTAAAAAAATGCATTTTCTTCGCAATAAAGCTGCCACGTGGACGTCCTAGATAGAAACTTATTATTATAATACGATAAAATAAAATATTACTATGTTTCGTCCAATATATTAAAAGTCAATAACCTTTCCAATTTTATTGTGTGTAAATGTGATCAGCCCACGTGTTTAACCTGACGCGAGTTTAACATTTTTTACCCATACAAAAAAAGTGTACAACACCGCTAAAGAAGTTTTCACTTCAAAAGAAAAACACAAATGCTTTATTCAGATACAAGTCTCCCAGCTGTTATGGAATTTGTTTTTAGCTGTGGAAGGAAACTGTCGAAAAAAAAATTCACAATAACCTAGATACGAATTCACGAAATTCAAGAAAGAATTAACGCGATTACTTTCCAGAGCGGACACAATTAAAGAGCTATCGTTAATTGGAACCGAAACCAATTGTTTTCTTTTTATTTTCCGGGATCTCGAATTCGTTACCTTAATTATCCGGAAGGTCAAACAATAATAAGGATGAGTCATCCTATATCCAGTAAAAAGTAATTAAGGATCAATTGTCTTTACATTATTTATATATTATGTAGCCGGTATTATTACATAAAAAAATATAACATACATTATTGTTAATTCAATATTAAGGTGTAAGAGATATAATGCACACCCTGAAATTTATTGGCTTCTGAATCGAATACAATAAAAATAAAGTATTTTTTACTTAAAAAAGAATTGTTGACATTCATTTTATATTTTTTAACGAACGAATGTGATACATAAAACAAGGCAATAAGAGTTTTTTTTTTAAATGCAACTGTGCATTTAATAATTTTACAAACATTGAGATATCACTGGTTAAATAATTATGATTAAATAAAATTAAAAATTACTAATATTTTTTCATTTGCATATTTGTTACAGACTACTTTCAGGTGTGCGTTATTTCTAATACACGTATAATCATCATCAGTCATGTCCCCACTGCTGGGAGACACATGCAATTTGTGCATTAATTTCAAATGACGTAGGTACCTGGTATTTGATTTTTGTTAAAATAAATATCTTGACCACAATTAGAAAATAATTACGCATAATGTAACTATTAATTAAAAGTATGCGAAGTTTTACCACAATGTTATCGTATTACATAAACAAGTAATAACTGAATTATATTCATAACTAAACTAAACTATGACTCGAAGTCGAAATTGAGAATGTAACCGTAGTCATTATTGCGTTACGCTACGGCTGCTATAATCGTAGCGTCTACGTGACTACGCTCGTAGCGAGATCACGCGTAGCACATTTTATTTTCGATGATTTCAAACAGTCAAAGGAATATAAAAACTGAAAATTTTGAATTGCATAGTAGTCAGTCGGATAGTAAAATGTTATGTTTCGCATTCGAAAATGCGAAATTTTTCTGACCATTTTTATATTTCGTCGTTGTAGAACTAAAACCCAGTTGAATGAAATGACTGTTGATAATACAAACCGACTGAGTTTTTCGTTTGCAAAAACTCAATATAATAGCATGTCTCCATATCTTTTAAAGTGACATTAACAACGATATTAAATACCCTTATACAACAACAGGAACAAAAGCGTGGCTGTCCAAAAGGTATATTGGACGATCCACGGAGTTACGTACGATGATCGCGTTGTCAATAACAATATAAGGCATTATTTAAACATTGAAAGTCAGCTTTAATGCATACTGTAAAAGGTCTTAATTTAAAATCATGCATCGAAGAGTTATGACAGTTTGAAATGCAAGCTCGTAAAAATGACTTATTGCCATATGCGATTTCTTTACAATTCTGAATGCGCTATTAGCAATATAGTTTTTTCCTCAAATTCAAATCTATTTTCAACAGTGGCTGTAAACCAAGTTGAACTCCACTCAAGCACTTCTTGATTGGGACACATTTTGAGCGCACGTGGTGTATTTAGGGTATTTAATATCGTTTTACATTAAAACATAATAGTTTACTAATTTTGATTTACTTTGTTTTATAACGGTGATATTTATTATGTCTGTATATTGCGGAAATGAATAAAGACCTTGTTACCTGTGAACCGAAGCTGATGGTAGAATATCGATATAATATGTATACATTATATATACTCTATACTTACTTGGCCATTTCAGATAACTGTAGTCTGCCATCTTTATTCGAATCAAACACTTGTAACTGGAAAAAACATTCTAAGTTTAGCTAACTAATTTTTGGAATTCTGAATAGGCATAATGACATTTTTTTTTTAATTGTAATTTCTTTTACGGAAGAGGTGTAAATGGAAAAATCCCATGGAAAAGATGAAACGGAAATGCGTCACGAGCGTCACACTACTATATATATATATATATATATACATACTTACCGCAATTAGTATCGCATCGACAAAATTTCTATGAGCAGTAAGCAGCGCCTACCGGACGTAGGAACAAACGGGCTCCTTCCGTACCAAATTTGACGATGACGATACGATTACGGGTGTGTTACTGTCAAAGTTCATACTTGGGTCTCTGAGACCTATTTACTTATTTACGTACATGGGGCAATTCACACCACGCGGCAAGCCAATGAGGATAGCAAAATCGTTTCGTCATCGTCAAATTTGGTACGGAAAGAGCCCGTTTGTTCCTAGGTCCGGTAGGCGCCGCTTAGTTTTCATAGAAATTTTGTTGATGCGATACCAATTGCGGTAATTATTTTACATGACACAAGTACAATACGCGCCACTAAAGATGAGACTTGACGCGCCACGTGATTTGACATGCGCAGTAGACGATTTATGGCTAACAAAAAAAACAATAACAAAAAATGTTTTTTTCTTTTGTATAAAAGTTCTTAATTTAAATTTAAAGTGTAATCATGTTTAAGCCTAATTCTATCTCTTTTTTTGACATTCAACAAATGAAAAAGATGGAATGATGTCTTAAACACAATTAAGCCTTAATTTAAATTAAAAACTTTGTGCTAGTGTGGCCTTGTTATAATAAAAATATTATACCATGGTATCTGTGTATTCAATGAGTTTGTCTTCTGAAACATCGTTGATTTTCTTCGCTTCTTTCAGGAGGTCCCTTAGAAAATTCTGTAAGAGCAACAAAACTTTTGTTTGAAATATGTTAAGGTTAATTAAATGAAAATGCATTTTTTAATAAGACATACAGTACTTATGAATGCAAATGTAGACAGATAGTGCCAGCCCAGGCTATCTAGAGCATGAGTTTCGCACGAGGCATGGATGTAAAACTTTACTTTCGATATATCATGATCTCGATGGCTCAATAGTAGGGGAGCAAAAGCTGGGATTTTGGGATTTACTCAAGCGAGACAGAACAACATATGCGGGGCAACCTTGCACCTAGTAAAGTACTCCCACCATACCTAAGCCCTTCATATGTGGTCGAATGTCTAGGGCAGCAAAAAAATCGGCCATGACTTTTGGTTGCGTCCAAATCATGGTAATACGTACCTCCAGGAACATAGCTTCTATTCAAAAGACCATGCCAAGTCCATGCCATAGCCAAATTCAAAAGACTATGCCAGGTCTCCAGGCTTCACGTAATGTAATGATGAAAAAGATATTAATCTGCCGGTTTGCATGGTGTGGGTGAGGCCGAACGAGGAGGGGGGGGGGGGAGAGAATACAGGAAAAATATTCGGACATTGAGAAGGGATATTTCGTTTACCCTTCAGTAGATTCTATTCAAGACTGATTCGGACGCGACCAATTGTCATGGCTGTTTGTTGATCTTTTTGCTGCCCTAGACGTTCGGCCCTGCCGCTTATATTATTCTGCCGCGCACGAGTAAATACCAAATCCCTACTATAAGTGTTTGGTGTGTTCCGTATGGCCGGTCGTAAAATGTATGACTTAAAATTTATTATCGCGAGCTCCTCCGTGGTTCGGAAGGCCAGATTACCCGTTGGGCCTGGCGGCTTCTGCAACAGTTAAGACCCACCAGTCGTGGCCCAATCAGCCTGTTTAATACATAGGGAAGGCCTCTGCCCCAAAATTGGGGATATTAATAGGCTGGTGAAGATAATGAACACGGATCAATTTGAATTAGGCACCGCCGTAATTCGTTCCCTATTCAATATATGCATTCGAGTAAGGTTTCAGGGTTACACAGGGTAGGGGATTGGGTCAGAGTAGAAACGGCAGAAGTGATATTTTTATATCGCTTACATCAAGCGAGCCATATGTTTGTTTGCCACAGTTTTAATATAAAAAAAACTTAAACCTTAGAGCACAACCGCTGGCTGTAACACTACCATTCTATCATCGAGCTCTTCATGATTGAGTTTCTAAGCATATAAGGTGACAAAAATAAAAGTGAAAATAATAATAAAAAAATTAAAATCTGAGTAACTTAATAATTGTAAACGTAGCTATAATAATGCTCGTCTGCTTGGGTTATTATTATAGTTGTCGGATATGGTATATTATGTTGTAAATAAGAAGATAGATTCGTCTTCTCGTATTTTGGTATTTTTTTATTAATGACAGTTATAAGAAAGTAAAGTTACCAAATGCTCATGAAACCAGAAGAGCGGTGACAACTTTATGTCCTATACCGATTGAGCACTGAAGGACCATGAAGACTTGCAATTTACTATATATTTAGTTGTTTTGTTCGTCTTTTAATAATTACTTTTTAATTCACCTGGATCATGTTTAATTTCATTAGAACTTTTCGTTTACTAGTTTATGGTTTTATGAAATAAATTTTTTGATACTGTCACTGTTACAAAATTATAACTGCCATTAATAAAAAAATACCAATATACGAGAAGACTAATCTATCTTCTTATTTACAAAAAAATATACCATATCCTACAACTATAATAATAACCCAAGCAGACGAGCATTATTATAGCTACGTTTTCAATAATTGTTCAAATTTACCTTCAGTTCATCAGCTTCTATGTAGCCGCTGCCGTCTGTGTCGTATTCCCGCCAAATCTGTAAATATCGACCCGTCTAATTTTATCGCTTCTCCACACACGTCACGCCCACACATTCCGAAAACTTATTACAACTTGTCTAGAGCAATAAAGTTAAAGCACCTTAAACAAAACCTAGGTGGTAAAAAAAGTTCATGCTCCGATTCAATGCAACTTTTTTTGTGACTTTAAATTTAATAACATTTTTAATAAGTTAAAAAAAACTAGCTTTATTTGTTTTGTTTTCAGTTTTTTCCAACTTCAAAGTTCTAGATATTGAGATGGATACGGGAGGGCACTGGACCCACTTTGCACTGGACCCAGTGCGGCTTGATGGGCAGGGTATTTTTTTATGAAATAGGGAGATTGGGTTATGAGTCATATCAATAAATAAAAAAAACTAGCTTTCCCCATAGTGCTTTGCCTTTACAAAGTATATCTCAAGCAGTAGGTTAGAAGATGATCTCAGCGAGAGCTGTGAAGAAGAGGATAGAAATGAGAAACACTGCTCAAGATAAGGGGGTAAGATGGCAGGAAAAGGATAGAATAGAGAACCGTGAGAGTGTGTAGATCTCTGCGCCGGCGAATAGGAAGCCAATTAAGTTTATTACGGAAGTGAGACACGTGGTCGAATTTCCGGAGATTATAAATGAACCTGATACAAACATTCTGCAGTCGCTCTAATTTTTGAGGAGTTTCTCCGGCAGATCAGTGTAGCAAACGTCAGCGTATTCGATGATTGACAACAAGAGAGAATTTGCCAAGTTGATTTTGGTGCTGATCGACAAAAAGTGCGTGAGCGTCGTGGAATACTCGGTCCGAAGTTAAAAAAAAACGAGCGAGCCTTACAGTAGTCGCCGTATGATGTGTAACATTTGTAACCTCACCTTACATTAGTAAAAAAAGAAATAAAACCTACTACAAAAGGTATAAGCCATTTGAACATTATGTTCTAAAATCAAATCAAATAGCGCGCGCTTTCGCGACTTCCTGTTACACACTTCTGTCCCATTTCACGAAATCACTCCCACAAATTGCAGAAAAGCGAGAGGAAAGATTTTACACATCAAAAACTATGTATAACACCCATATCCGCACTGGGCCGGCGCACGGATTGGTGAGTAGGACACTTTCTTTTTGATGGAATACCGAGATATTGAGATGAATAGGGCACTGGGCCTGTTTGCATTGGAATCAATCAGCTTTGGGCCCAATCACTGGGCCCAGTGCGGATTGGAGGGTGTGCGGGACAGAAAGGAATTTGGACTTACGATTTTGTTGTCTTCGATAGCCTTTGGAGCAGCGCCGGTCTGCCTGTATTTTCGTAAGTTTCCCGGATGTTGTTGGAGTATGATTTTGAGATATGCCTCACTGTCCTTCACGTGAATTTGGATCGGGGCTTTTCCGAAGACGACCGATTGCTATGGCGACGTAGTTGTAACAGACAGCTGACAGATACTGCCTGTCTACCCTCGTATTACAATAAAAAATCGTCCAACGGATAGGAAAAGGTGGGGAAGCGGATGTAATGTTACGTTATCATATCTAACGCATTCAATATATGTGAAACCGAACAGAGGGTGGTATATAAAAATTTTTAATTTCATTCCGAGTGTTCCCGGCACTTATTTATTCTTTATTAAACTTTTTTATGCAGCTTATAGTTTGTAAAAGCACTAAGGAGAAACCTAGTTTTTTAAACAAAGTAAAAGTTCGAAAGCTCAAATAGGGTTATATCGGCACACGTTTCTTTTTATCGGTAGTAGATTTACCTTCATAAACTCAACGCTGGACTCCAAGGGGTTGTCAAATCTGAACAGCAGCAGGAAATTTTCCTCCATCGGCAACAGTTGGGCCAACTGGAACAAAATACTATATTTTACACACAACGCATGTAAGGGAGGTAGGGCATAGCGGTTTTATCGGTCGAACTGGAGCGCCCGTCTGGGGAAAGCCGGGTACTCGTTAGCGAGCTGTAACTAGGGTTGCCACCCGTACTTTATTATAAAGTATTGTACGTTATTTCGGGTAATTGTACTCTATACTTTATGCCTACAATAAAGTACGCGAAAATACTTTATTTAATATGGTTTGAATACTCGCGGATTAATTTTACATAAAATATACAAAAGAAGGTTGATAGGAAGATTTTTTTCGTAAAACGGACCGCCAGTATGTAAAATATGTTATGATCATCCCTGCAACGTTTTCGTGGCTATATGAGTTTGTACCATGACTTTTTCCATTGCGAAAAATAACTACAGATTAGTAGCCCCAAATTATTTATTAAAAGTTGCTCAAAGCAACGTAAAATAAGTTTATAATAAGTTTAAGCTTACTATTAAAGTGGAATAAAAAGTACTTTATTCTGGACACAACGTACTTCTTTTTCTGCCTTATAATAATATCTAATGTAGTTTATATGGACAAAAAAAAGGTGGCAACTCTAGCTGTAACCGTAACCGTTGCATGCACTGTAACCAAACAGCATAGTGTGTACGGGGTTCGCTAACGTGCTACGAGCGGTACGCGTGCGGTTTGCAGCGAGCCGACGTTTACAACTGAGCTACTCGTACAAGCGTACACCCTAGAACCTCGTACTGTATCACGCATGTTACAGTTACACCACGGTAGTTAGTACCTGGCTGAAGTAATCTCCGTCTTACAGAAGATCACAGTAAAATAATACTATTTGTTTCTTAGGTTTTCACGCACATCACTTATTAAATAAAACTAGTTTTAACGGATTAATGCACGAACTTTATTTATTTATTGACGTTTCGCAGCCTTTTGAAGTCTGCATCGTCAGATTACTCTGTTATATCGTCAAATTATTCTGTTATATTGTCAGAATAATCTGACGATGCAGACCTGAAAAGGCATCGAAACTTCAATAAATAAATAAATTCCTTTATAAATTTATTTTTTCGTACGAATACTACGAGGACGGCCAGATCTTATTGTCACAAACAAAGGAGGTTCCATTGTACCTATCGATATCCCGGTACACATACATTCGATTAATACCAAGCGGATGAAAAGTTTAGAGAATTGCATTTAGCTCCACATTCTACTTTGCTTAATGTTTTGATAGCAATTCGGTTCTCTTGAACTTTCCACTCCATTTTAATATCATGAAAATATTAGTTCCTTATATATGAAATTAGCGTTTTGTCGTACCACGTCGTCGTTTTGTGACCACTTTGACCTGAACTATATCCTCTTTGGATGATAATTCCAAATTCATATTTATATATTCATTTAGTAAGCTGGTACATTTCAGTTAAGAAAACAGTCGTTTATTTGTTTTTTTCCTCATTATTTTTTTCTTTGTCGTCGCTTATTATCGCACAATGGAAATCATGAAATATATATATATCATGGCACCAGTGCTACATAAACAGCTCGAAGGATTAATAATGTATTCGGTGCTGGCGTCGCAAATGAAAGCACGGTACGTTTTTGGTTTCAACGTTTTTGTTCTGGAAATTTCGACCTTTCTTAACCCACCCCGTGGACGGCCGACCAAAGTGGAAAATCAAGAATTAAAGGCTATTGTGGCAGCGGGTCCATCACAAAGCACTTCAGAGATAGCTGCAGGTGTCGGGGTGAGTGACAAAACTGTATTAATCCACTTGAAGCAAATCGAGAAAGTAAAAAAACTTGAACGGTGGGTACCTTATGAATTGAGTGAATCGAACTTGCAAACACGCTTCGACTGCTGTGTTACTTTGCTCAACCAACACAATAAAATAAAATCCCTCCAATTTAAAATCGAATCATTACTTGTGACGAAAAGTGGATAATGTACGATAATCGGAAGCGCTCGTCGCAATTTTGCTGGGTCTCCAGGGGCTGAACCCTGGAGACTTGCCCTAAGCGAAAATTGACTCAGAAAAAGTTACTTGTGAGTGTTTGGTGGACTAGTGGTGAAGGAAGAACTAGCTGTTAAACAACCGTGATTGGTCAATCGCTCTAGGCCACTGCTGCTTCACGACAACGCAAGACCACACACTGCACAACAAACAACCACTAAGTTAGATGAGCTACAATTGGAATGTCTGCGACATCCACTGTACTTCCCGAACCTTGCTCCAAAAGATTACCATTTTTTCCGGAATTTGGTAATTTTTTTACAAGGAAAAAATTCAACTCAGAAATGGCAATCCAAACCGCCTTCAAAGAGTGTATTAATTCTCGCTCCCATGGTGTTTTTAGTAAAGTATCAATGGACTACCTATGAGATGGCAAAAGTGCATAGTGTTCGGTTGGTAGCGGACTGTAGTTAGGTTGAATGGTTGTAACACAATCACTGGTTCATCGGTCAAGGTATATTTATGCACATACAGACACAAAGGTAAATACACTGTAAGTACAGACACTGAAAAACTTGGTATTATGGCTAGGACTTACTCAGAAGTAATTAAATTAGATATAATAGGAAGCACGTCCGTATAATACGGTGGCCGGTAATGGAGAGAGAGAGTCAGCGAGAGACGCTGCTGGTCAACTAGTGCTGTGCACAATATTTAGTGTTGGGAAACATTCCAACACATAGATAACAACGGTGCATACTTTGAATAATTAAATATATTTTACAAAAAAAAAATGGATGCGTGTAACTTATGTACGCGCGTGAGAAGTTATACTTCTTTAGCATCATTAAAAATATTTTTTAATTGCATGCAAATAATTAATAATTACAATAAAATAATAAAAGGACTGGAAAAGGATAGTTAACACAGTCAATTAAGTTCAGTTTTAATTTGAAAAATTAAATAAATATTCAAAATATTCAATTAAAATCACTACTGAATTTAAGTTATTAGTCCATATGTAATTAGCACTTGTAAGTAACTAAAACACGTTGTGTCTATATAGAAACTAGAAACATGTGGATAAATATTATAAATATGAAAACAGTGATCAGAGGCGACGAGCGTGCCAACATTGTTTTTGACAACGCGATCATCTTATGGAGCTCCGTGGATCGTTCAAAGTACCTTTCGAACAGACACTAACATTCATAACGCGCCCGCGGCCAACTTCATGGTGTTACTATTGTGTTACAGTGATGCGCGCGCATCTCGAAATTTCACTCACATGATTTTTTCATAACGCGCCCGCGGCCAACTTCATGCTGTTACTTTTGGGTTACAGTGATGCGCGCGCATCTAAAAATTTCACTCTCATCATTTTTTCATAACGCGCCTAAAGAAGTATAACTTCAAAAATACTTTATATTCCTATCGTACAAAACGCTAATTTCATATGTAAGGACCTAATATTAAACCCCGATTGGATGTGTTTTCTCATAAGAATGACAGATTCCAAATTCAAATGTGGTTTTATGTTTTTCTTTTAATAGTAACAGTATTTATCGCCAGACTAAGTAATAACAGGTAGCGGCAAACTTTTTATGCAAAACCACAGACAAATAAACTTGCGGAGTAGGCGTCTTTGTATGTAAAATTGCTACTGCGCAGGCTTCCTTGTCTATGGTCGTTGCTCAAAAAATTTGCCGGGGCGTATACCTCTCGTATATCGATCTTTCCGTCTTGGTTGTCATCATAGGCTTCCATGAAGCAGGCCTTGAGTTCCACCAGCATTGAGTCCGAGACGGCCTGTAACAAAGAGCAAAACATTGAGCTTTTTGTTAATATTGTAGCATGATAACAAGGCTTGAAATTATTTGTTATATTATACTGCAAATATATCCTTATCATGTTCTTTAGGAATGAAAAGGAGGGCCTGACTGCTGTCAAATCCACAAATAGCAAATACGAATATGCATGTGAAATGCCTTAAGTTGTGACCAGTGAACACTCACATTTGACGTACTGATGTAGTTAGTTCACACAAAGAAGGGCGACTGAAAGGAGATTGATTGAAAAGATAATATGTGAAGCTGATTCGAGGGGTATTCGAGTATTATGGGGACGGGAGGGCCAAGGACCTCCTCCTCCTCTCTCTCTCCCCTCCTTCAGCCGGATACTTCCCGACCGAATCGTGAATATTATAATAACGTGTCACGTTGAGATCCCAATATAAGGAATTACATATTTCACGTTGTTTTTAGTCAATAATATGACTATTTAAACATCATTGCGTTCTTAATTATTATTAGAAAAAAATTCTAATTGTATGTCTTTGGCCTTTATCTTCCATTTCGGCCTGGCGAAAATTGAAAGCAGAGAAAAAATGGTGTGGTATTTTATAGAACCACGAAGTGTAATTTTTAAATGATTTGTATCACCTTATTTTTGTTTGGCTAGTAAAAAGTGGAAAAAGGTCCTTCCTTGGGTGGGAATCGAACTCGGGTAGCCCGTGTAGCGAGCGAGCTATCAGTGCATTTTACTGCCGAATCACCGATGCTTGTTGATAAGGACTGAATTATCATAGAGTCTGTGCGGAAAGAGAATGGGATTTAGATTAGAGGGCGTTGTAGTGCTTTTCTACCGTATTTGTAAGCTTTTACCCCTTTTAGACATGATTAAATACAAAAAAACCGCAAGAAATCACAACAATATACAAATCCGTATCAATACAAAACTTTGACGTTTTACAGATTGCTGGGTTTGATTGCCAAATAAAAATTTTAATGTTAGTTTCGTTTTTCGCCATGCCCATTCTCTTTCCGCACAGACTCTAACAATAAAAATGTAATGCAACATGCTAAAGATTGTGGCGAAGTAATAAAAGTTGCACTTTAATAATAATAAAAAAAAAACACGCTTATAACCGTTGACAAAGAATTATAGTAATGATGATTTTGATGGAAAGTTATAAGAATAAATTTGTGAATTCGATATATGTGGAGCTGGCGAACAAAACGGTATAATAACGCATCTGCCCAAACTACATTTTTTTTACAGCCCGAAGGTTTTGGGCCCGTTGAATTTGAATCTCAAATAATTTTCAATCAAACCGCCTAAAAAAGTGTTAAATTACTAATTTTATAAATTAAAAACCATGCCAAAAGCTCACTGTATGTATGTCATTCAGTTTTAAACAGCTCCTGTAAAATTTAATTTTATGTAATTATACCGTTTTGTTCGCCAGCTACTAATTTATAATCAAGAAAAGCTAATTCGGAATTTACAGGTAATCTAATGACAGAGATCATCGGTTAAATAACTTAAGTAATAAACATAAATATTTCCTTAATATTTGCCCCTTTTAAAACACCAGAGACATTTTACAAATACAGCGTTACAAAGTAAATACTCTGATCCAACTTAATAATACCGAATCGCTGTTAAGATACTAGCAACAGCAATATTTGTTGAAAGAAATCCTTGGAAGACTAAATTTGTTCAAGAGAAAAGCCCTCAAGTTAGAAATTACAGTATTTGATTACATCGGATGACGCAATTATCTCAATAAGTACCTGTGGGGAACCCACTATATATTTTGTCACAACAAATTATATTTTCTAAATTATTATACTAAAGTATTAAAGTACGGATATACATAATATTAAAGAATATATAAATATTATAATAAAGCAATTAAAGAAAACATATTTATAGTATATACATAAACAAATAACTTGTATAATTATTGTTGATGTGTATTTTCTTTTTCTCTGTGCTTTGTTTGAACTGTTTGCTGTGTCTATCGTTACTGCTTTGAACTATGTGCTTGTGAACTCCTTTTATTACTGAGGGGTTTGTGTTTTTAATCAATAGGAAACCGTTAGTTTAAAAAGAATTATTATTTACACACAAACCCATAACCTATAACCATAATTATCGTCACCGGTTAAGAAAGAGCTGTTTAAATACCCCTAACAACAAATTGTTCGGTGAGAAATCACCTACATTTTAACTTTATGTCAAGAAAGGGAGTTTGCAACCAAATTAGTTTTTGCCGGTAAAGCAGTTGTCCCACCACCGGCGAGAAAGCTACTAACTATCGCCTATTTTCTTGCTCAAGAAACGTACAATTGATATACATTTTTGAAAAAAAAAGAGATGCATATATCAATACTTGATCGCTGACTGTTCACACAGCCGTCAAGAAATCGTTCCATTAGCTTGTCGCTGAGCGATTAGAGCTATCGAAGAAAATATTCGTACAGAGATCCACGAGCAAGTGGCGCGAGTACTCGCACACTCACTTACTCCCTTATTAATAAACAAGGAATAAGTTTAGACTAGCTACGCCGTCTTCTGTTCATGTCACTCAAATGCCATATGGCCATTCGATGAACAGAGACAAAATATGGATTAATTAATCCTAGATTATTCTGCGTTTATTTATAAGGGGGTAAGAGCCCAGCGACAACACACTCGCTTCCCGTCGATCGTGAACTCGTTTCTAGCTTCACTCGCTTCTTCTTCATTGTCGGAGAGATGTGCCTAATCCAGTTCGAAAAGATAATAGAAAAAGTTTATATGCGCGAATAGATTGCTGCCGGAATCTCGGGTAAACTTCCCTAAGTTAACTTGAGATATTAACATTTCTGAGAATTTTCGCAGTACAAGAAACGCGCTGCGCCACGGGCTTTATTGAATGAATACAAGCCCTTTCTAGGTTTAATATAAATACCGAAGTTGTCGAGGCGGATCGAAGCTTTACCAAGTCAAAAAGTACTTTGGCTATCTTATCGTCCTACACTAAGTGTCGCCGCACAAAGGCCACCGACCACAACCACAAAACACCGCCACCGGCATATTTCTTGTAGTTTTCATTCATTTTATATGGACTCGCTTCACACGGTACGCCGCCGGTGGCCGCCACACGCTACAAATCGTCGTTGCTCGCTTCTTGTGGCCCGCACCGGCCACTTAATGCACCGATACAAAACGCCGCCACACGTCACTCGCGCGATTCATTAACCCTCTCTCCCTTACCTTAGTCGGCCGCTGTCGCGCTTCAGCCACTTTAGTAGCCGCTTCTAGCTTCTCGTGGCGGCGTTTGTGGCTCTGGCGTGTGGCCCGTGCGGCGACACTAAGGTTTTAATAGTTGCCTGTTTATTAAGGCAGTAAAAACTATTTTAAAGGCGACCAAATCGCTCGAACTTAAAAATAATAATGCTCCAGCCCCCTTAGGATGAGCACCGCGATATGACTTATAACGCGTTTGTATTATCACGCTCAATTGTCAAATTACTTTACAGTTTGACGGTAAGACGCGATAATAACGTGATATAATGTAAATTGTGGTGCTCATGCTACGGAGCCAGAGGCGGTCACTACTTTTAATAATAGGCTTCAAGTGAGAGGCAACAAAACAGACGATTGAATGTAATAATTACTTAAGAATCTCTATCAACGCATTTCTTACAGAAAATTTTAAATAACAATGTGTTCCAAATGACAATATTGGTGCATATATAATTATATTTGCTCCAATTAAATAACGTGGTTTTAATTCAACTTTTAAGGTATTTTTTCATTCTAAAAATAAAAATAAAAATTCTATTAAAAACGGAAGTTTTTTTCATTAAGTACGTAACGTGTAACATTTTCGGTACTTTTGAAGGCGGCACGAAGTTCACCGGGTCACCTAGTCTTCACAATAATATAAAAAAATGAATCGCTGAATGTGTTGCTAAGCGCAAATCGCGAGAACAGCTGAACCGATTTCGATAATTCTTTTTTTAGAATATTCCTTGAAGTACGAGGATGGTTCTTACGCAGAGAAAAATTAAAAAAAAATGCCTGAAAAAGTCCAAATAGAACACATTCCTATACTCCCATACAAACGATTGGTAATAATACTTTCAATTTGAACTTTAATACCATACCATAAATTTCAAATGTTAGTGGAGATGTTCCAGGAAGGCAAAACAATTGAGTGACGTGATGTAAATAGAAGTTTGGTCAAGGCAAATATATCATTTTCAGATTTTTTATAATTATATAAAGAGTCATTTTAGTCCACACTACTGCTCTACACCTAAGCGAAGCGAGGGCGGCCACTAGTTTTTTATAAAACCAAATAAATCCGAATTTGTGCAAACAATTCTGAACGATGGCGGAATGTATTTCGCGCGTGGTTGTTTATTTACAACCTTTTTTTAATTCGGCGATCGCGCGGTTCCTTAAAAAAAAACAATTCTAATCACTTCTAGTCCCTAAGGATCAAAACGCTCTTTTGGCCAATTTTACAAAGATAAAAAACTAGCTCAATGTAAATTTGTATGGGTAACCAATTTTTCTACCCAGACGAAGTCCCAGGGACCCACTAAGTAGTCTTATACAAAAGAAAAAAATATCCCAATACATCTTATGTTAAGTGTAAACGTCAGATGATATTTTTTTCTTACATCGGTGCGACCTATTTTATTTCTGAATAAAACGTTGCTGAAACTCATATAAGACTACTTAGTGGGTGCCTGGCTGTGTCCAGAGATACAGAATTGTATGTTCCCAGCAAAGAAAATAACTTGTAGGCGCAATTTAGAAACTATTCATTTTGTTGTCAAACTTCCGGTTCTAGTACAATTGACTCGATACCTTTTTTTTGCGTCCTTATCTGACATTCATTGGATGAAAACTTGAAACTTTTCCTAGTACGTGAAATTTGTCATGCTTGGAATAGCTGTTTCGCTTCCGATAAAGTTTAACTGTAAAGGTGCGGTCGTGATAATATTGTTGGCTTTGTGCCCATTTCA